ACCACAGTAAGCCCATGCACGTGCCGGCTTCTAATTGTTGCATCTGATAACCAATATGGATTTGTAGGGCCACCACATTATCTTATAAATTCATGATGATTTTAAGCGACCTCAGAAAAGAAAGACGTATCTCTATTTACATATGTTTTATATTCATTCTACTCGATAAGATTTTTCGGCTATTCTGAACGGATTTTGGGATTTTTTTTTTGTTTACGTAATATACGGTAATTATATTATAATTACCATTTTTCATCAAGTAGGTCTTCGATGTAGAAATTTAAAAATACTAAATTTTACTACTAAATAAATGTTTATTTTTAATGGTTAATTTTGAAATACACTTTTGGGCACCAGTGAATAATGATAGGTGAGGATGAAGCAGGTCAGTTAGCCCAATCAATCACGATGGTTTCTAGGGGAAACCGCATGGAGGTCAACCTGATAGAGTATGTTCCTAGGAACGGGGTTGCAAATCCCTATTACTAACAATACCTTTTCTTTTCCACTAAACAAATGTTAACTTTGTATTGTATATTTTTATATTTACACACTGTATACTGTATATTGCGGAGTTAGCGGATGTAGATGGCTTAAAATTGTTCTTTTTAGCAGTCTACGAGGAAAGGTCTATATTCAGCAGTGGACATGTAAAGGCTAATACGCCTGATAATATGTATTATATTACTAGGGTCTCACCTCGACAGACATATTCGTCCAAATAAATAACTGAGTGAAAAAGGAGCAAGTTAAAAATATTCATTATTACTAATAAATTCGACGAATAAATCGGTACAGACGAAAGATGACTATTTAAATTGAAGCATTTAGTGTTCCATTATTTTGTCACATCATACCCCCAATGAGGTACAGGCGTGACATAAAATTATATTAAAAAATAATACGCTCAGATATATCAATTAATTTATCATGCAGTGCTATGGGATATAAGAGATAGCGCACACATAACCTCCGAAGACCCTAGTAGAAGCTGAAACATAAATTATTTTGTTGTGGGGTGTGTCATTGTGCGTCCGTTCCTCGGAAATGTATTAAACCGCAGCGATTGACTGTACCCGTATTATCATGACGCATAGCTTTTTGGGACAGTGTGGGGACAACATCGATATTGTCAGCGTAGTCCAATTAGGATGAACACAGTCTGACATTTTGGTTTATCGATATATTGCAGTATCCGTCAGTTGAAATTGAAATATGCTTATTTCAAATATAGACTCAACTCCAATTATTCTAAATATGAAAGTTTGCGAGGATGGCCGGTGTTTTTTTACTATTTTACCCAATAACTACTTATCTATATAAAAGAATGTCCCAACTTAAATAGAACATATTTTTTATATTAATTTACGTGGACAATAATGCAAATACAAATACCAAGTACTCGTACGTAATATATCTATTAAAATTGGCTTGTTGTGAAATAAATTATTGATAAGACTTCTGTCTGTCTTGCGTATCAATCAAATTTGTATATGACCAACACAATAGTAAAATCTTGTCTGTAATCCGCGATAAAATGATCAGAGGCTATTATATATAAATACATTGTTATACTTACTAAATATTTATATTAGCGAACAAATAGTGACTGATAATTATATATATAAAATATAAACTTATACCTCAAACACTATAAACATTCAGTAAATATTGATACGTATAATTTTATTATATTTTAATAGCTACGGCATGGAGTCCTAGGTACTTTCGCAATTATGAACTGTAATTTTACATTAACTGTGCTCGCGATATCGTTCCAATGAGCGTTAGGTTAAAAGATCTTTAATTTTCCGGGACAAAATGTCCTAAACGTTGATCAGGGTTTGACGAGGGTTATGAGTGATCACTATATACGCGGAGATTGATCAGTCAGTTTAGTGCCACATAGTGCCACACACGGTAAGTTTGTAGAAAGGCAATCTGTTAGGTATTTTTATACAGTACTAACAATTTTCCTTCGCTTTGAGGCCGTGAATTAGGGAAAAAAGTATTTCATGTGTTCAGTTAGAATATAACTTTGTATTTATTTTCATTCAAGTCCATTCACCTGTTTAAGCGTGTTTGAGTAACGAGTATGTAAATATCATTAAAAATTTTCGCCTTTGTAATATTACTTTGTAGGATTTTTTTTTTATATTTTCGTGAATAAAATTATTGTTTTAAAAAAAAGCAAAATTTAAACTTCATTGCAAAAGATTGTTGTAAATCAATCTATCAGAAATTTATTTATCAAATTCAACTTTCAATTATAGTATTTATTGGTACATAACTGTTAAACTAAACATATACATAAATGTATTTTTTTTTTATTCTTACTTTATGTCATTTACTAACGAAATTAATCCTTCTTGTTTGAAACAAATATATATTTAAAATTTAAATTCTTTATTTCTTTTTATAGATATTTACCTACAAGATAAGTACTTAAACAACAATAGTTATATTACCTCACTTATAAAATTTACTTACCTACATATGTAGAGTCCTTCACTTAACATACAATATCCACAAACTCGAGCGCTGAAGTCGAAGTTCTCTCATGTCTGTTGCTGCAGTTACTACTTAGTCCAAGTTACACGAGTGGCAAAGCTTAAATAATATAAGTACCTACTATGAGACCAGTATAGTCTTATGTTGTTTTTGAACAGTGCTTAGCTATTCCTGACCGAGTACAAGTTTATAGGCTGATAGAAGATTACCATAATAAAAAATATACATATTTTTCACTCATAGGAATACTTGTGTTTAGCAGTAAGACGTAATTTTTTTTTATAAAAAAATATAAACAAAATGTAATATATACTTGCATAGCGTGTGTGGGCATCATCAGCATTATATCAGTCATTAAACTCTCCATTGCTGAAGATAGAACTTCGCCATAAGGCGGGTTTTGCCAGCAAATACTGGCAAAACGCAGTTAGCCTTTGAAGAAGTTTTAAGACGGACACTGCTGCTTATCTCTCGACCATTGGGGGAAGGGATTGTTAGTAATAGGGAAGTTAGCCTCCATTGCTATCAATATACCCTATCAGGTTGACCTCCGTGCGGTTCCCCCTGGAAACTATCGTGACTAATTTATCGTTGAAATCGTCACGATGGGCTAACTGATCTGCCTTTTCATCCTCACCTATCATCTCTCACTGGTACTCCGCCAGTGTATACCAATAGCGCAAGCGGGGTTACCATGCCATTTTCACCCATTAAAAAAACCCTCGACTATTAAGTGAAATATAAGTTCTCAATAATGGCAATACATAATGAGAACGTTGGACGTCATAGTGTGTTCGCTAGTATTGGTATCCGTGGTGCTGTTCATGTTTGTATGACGGTCGCCACCTCTACCAAGTAAACCGTCAACATATTTGCTATTCCGAGTACCATACAAAAATTATACTCGTATTCATCATCATATCAGCCTTTGTCTACTGCTGAACATAGGCCTTCCCCTATTGAGGAGTTGCCAGTAGTTGCCATGTTTGGCAGGTGGGTTGACAATCGCAAAAAAAGTTTCCTTAGTTGCCTTTTAAGACACCCACAGGTAAAGAAGAGGTAGCCCATTTTACGCCGGGTTTACACGGCGAAAAACTACATTATTACCTGGGATTTGTTAATGAAATTTTGTAAAAGTAAAATTATATTAATATATACTGTACATCACTATGCCTATTGTCCTTGTAAGTGTTGTTACATAACATTTGCTCTATTGTTAACAAAACTGCGCACCCGCCTGTATCAATGTGTACCCCCTCACAAAAGATTACACGTCTAATAGGAATCATTAAAATGCGTAACAAAATGCATTAGTGCCTTACTGCCATTCTGTATGAATCCATTCTTTGCGATCAAATTTTTTGGGCGTTAAAAACTTTTTTATAACAAATGAATATAGCATATTAATATTGATGATCCGTGAATGTTTTGATTTATTCTATTTTGATTTTATTTTTTGATGTTCTCAAAGTTATGCATTTTTCATCATATTTTAAATACTATCTACCGGTTCGCCATGTGGTCACAGCATAGAATAGGCCACCCCTTCCTTTCCTGTGGGTGTCGTAAGAAACGACTAAGGGGCCCCCCTTGGGTAATAGGCAGTTGCGTCCCTTTTAATACATTTACAATCTCTAACTGCGGTTGCCAATCCACCTGCCAAGCGTGGCAACTACTCGCAAATACCCCCAAGGAGGAGACTTACATTCAGCAGTGGACATTTATAGGCTATGATGATGATAACTACCGGTTTAACTTATGTGTATTTAGATCGAATAAACTCGACTAGTTTCAGGATCAATTCATGATCCTTAATCATGAGCGGCTGTGACATGAGCTAGCTTAATTTCATCATGTTTGTAAACTTCAATGTACAATATTAAAATATCGTGCGTGATTTCTGGACACATCATATGTGGAGAAATTTCTGTGTATGGAGAAATAACACCCTACTCCTCAGAAATAGCAGCGCATAACGGGTAACATGGATATGTATGGGTGTGTTTTATAGCTAATGGTTACCTTTAGTAAATTAACCCTCGGATCGGGCATCCCGCGATTTCCGTGTGCAGTATCTACTAGTTTAATTTTACGCATCTCGCGATTTAGACATGCTCGCATTTTTTTTTTATTGACGTTGTTATCACGCGATTTTGCTTCTTAGAATCTCGCTAGATGGCTCGTACTGCTATTTGTTGTCAAAGCGACGTGCGAAAATAAAGCGAAAAAAAAAAATACGCGATCAGAGGGTTAACAATCAACTAGTTCATTTCAAGTTATATAAAGAAACATGAATAAAAATGTACATGCAGTTATCATGTCGGAACATACTCAAGTAAAAATTATTATTTACGTACGAGTATCAGGAAATATATAAAACTTAATTCAGGGGGTACGACAGTGCCCCGCCAAGTCGTGCACAGCCGTATCATAAATATTTTACAGGTATTGTACACGAATATAAATGTTCGAATAAAAAAAAAAAAACATTAATTTTTCATGACATTTATTTTATAAAAATGCGCCGTTATTTTGTTCAACATACGCTGTACGCATATTCACAAACTCATGAGAGTAATATACAAGCTTCGACATTTATGACAAATAAAAGCTATATTTTTTTTTTCTTAAAATATTAATACAAAAATGGTGTACAGTTTTGTTCATTGGATTACTTTTTAAAATGGTCCATATATGTATATTGTATTTTGTCCATACATGTATTTAATGCGAATATTGTGTTGAAGTACTTATAAAAAAGTTACTACTTATAATTATTAACAAAAGTCGTTTAATAATTATAAAATAGGCCCCACTACTTGACTCATGTCGTAAAATATATCAATTAATAAAAATATTACTTTTAAAGAATAATATTACAAAAGTTAAAAAATTAATGTAATATTTAATTTGAAAAACAAAATAATTACATGTATGCACTATGCCGTTGGGCATTTTTTTTAATTAACTTAGAATTATTATTTACGAAACAAATAAAAAATGTAAACCGAAAATGTAAATCATATTCGGTACATAAATTTATGTAAATTTTAAATGTATTGGTCCTATACATAATTTTGATATACAAAGTGGATATAAGTATAACATTAAGTTATTTAATGTTTACAATTATGCGTAAAAGCGATTTCTTAATAAAATATATGTTTTATCCGATTACGTCAGGTATATGATTACCAACATTTTGTTTATAAAATTAAACATTTAACTACGACGAGCTTACTTTGAATAAGCGGGATTTTTGCATCTTATATTTATAAATGCTAGTGATGACTTATTTATCAATAGACGACGCCAGTGAAATAATATTCTTAACGTTTATGAAGGATAAAAATAATAATAGCAATGAGAAATTAAACAAATATAATGAGATTTTTCTTTTTAAAGATAGTAAATAGGCTATATACCTACTATGTTAGGATGTAAAAATCATTTTAAAAATCACATAGTTTATGAAAATCATAGACTATGAGATTTTTAGAAACCTAGTAATCTACTCCTAAATATGTATTAGAAACGTATTTGAGACTTGGGAACATCGTTGTTAAATAAAACAGGTGTGCTTTTTTTAACAGACAGTGCTCTGAACAAAATGTCGATATTAGAGTAAAGTAGATAATTTTAAGTACCTCAAATAATCAGAATTAAATAATAAATTCGAAAAAAAAAATTATGCGAATAAACACTCATTTTAGGATTATAATAATTTTAGTTCTTTTTTGTTCTATTAGCGTTTACTAATTAGTCATCAAATTAGTCTAGTAATATGTTGTTTATATAAAATGCCTAATAATAATGCCTAAACCATTTCACTGGCACTATCTCTTGATATAAAACAAACTACAAAGCTAGTACTCTATAGTTCGTCATACATTTAGTCTTAAATATTTATCTCACATAGAAGGATAATAAAATTCGGCGAGATTAAGTGTTTAAATAACATACAAATTACAATTAACAATATATGTAAGATATTGTCCTTATATGTGAGATCATTTTATATTAAGAAAACAAACAGGTAATTATTTACAATTACTTATTTACCTAGTTATATACACGTCTTAAATACTAATTGCAAATTCGTAGCTGTTCTTGAAAAATAAATCTGAATATTAAAAATAATTGAATTAAAAAAAAAATGGTTTATTATATAACTCAGAGAAATTTTTAAAACGGTTGTCATTTTTTAAGATGTTAAAAGAATTAACTAAGATTAATATTTTTACACTGATACTGGCATTATTATAACATACTATTTATTATTATAATTAATTTTAGAAACGATAAAAAAAGAGTCTCTGTATACGCGGTCATGGTCACAGTGTATGAGATTATTATAATAAGTTACTTCAATATTGTGACATGAACATAGCATATTGGTCTTATCTATATACACTAACCTACGTTATACCCTCATTAGTACATAATAGAAGGCACATCCCGTACCTTTTGAAGCAACTGTGCCTACATCTTAAAATGTCTGAATTGATTTTCAAAAGCGTTTCAATTATAATTAACGTTACAAAACTGATTTCATTTAGATCTAATTAATAACGATAGACAGTAAAGCTGATAAAGTACTTAATAGTAAAGTAATAAATTCACTTTTGGCAGTTTCGAATACTGGTCGCGCCTTTCACAAATACACAAGCTGTTATACTCGTTAAATATAAGTGACATTCAAAGAATATCGAATAAAAACGTCAATTGAAGACGATTATTCTCTCCGTTAAAAAATACCACAACAATATAAGAATACTTCTTAGACAGCTGAATTTTTACCAATAATCGTTCCTCCACTAGTTGCATAAACCCGTCGACCGTCGAATTCCACCGAAGAGTTCCTCTTTAATCCATCATCGCCAGTATCCTTTAACGGTTCCTTCTCATCTCTGCAGAAAAAAATAGCAATTACTTATTTAGTGAATTCAGATTTATTACATGGCTAGCGTAATTTACAGCACAGATTCCAACTTTTTTACATTTTTAATTTCTACTCTGTGATTTTTTATGTACAATGGTATAAACTAAGGTTGTATGATTAAGAGCCTGAGCAAACGAGCGACAAATTTAGATATACTTTTTTATTTAACATAATACATAGAACTTATAACGCATTAATTAACCCTTCTTTGCATATTTTTTTTTATTGGTGAAATTAATCAAAGTGATATAATTCATTTTAAAAATTAAAAGATATATGGTTAAAAAATAAATTTGACAGCTATAGTTTTTTCTGCAATAGACATTAAAAAGGCATCCAGACACGATCAACTTAAAGTGAAATTGTTCTTTTATATAATTTTTGGGCATTCAATGTTATGATGGAAATTTCCACCCGTATGCAAAGAAGGGTTAAGCAATGCTGGTCCTTTGCAAGACCTATGTATACACAAAAAAAAACTTTTTTTTGAATGAACGAAAAGTTGCTCGTCTGTTCAGACTATGATGGTTGATTAGGAATATATTTACAAAACCGTTTACAAGCAAATTGTAATTATAAGCTAAACACAACACACATTTCACTTTGCATTAAAACTGAAAAAAAAAGAAACAAAAACAAGCTCATGTTATTTTGAAATTAACAATACATTAAATGATGATTATTAAAATTTCTTACACTGGCGTAGTTGGGACATAGCTAAATGTGACCGGAGCAGCGTGAAAGACAATTCAATTGTTAGTGATAACTGTGCAGAGGAACATTATTTAATAAAATATCTATGAAATGGCACACAAGAAATATTACATAAAAGGAATATTAAATAAATACAAAATTAAATATATCAACGAAATCTATCAAAGAATCAATTAACTGCCGTAAGAGATGTTCCGGATAAATAGAACTTGCTAAAATTCCATTAAAAAATATACAAATATCCGTGCATAAGATGAGAACTCAAACATTATTTTACATTCTAAAAAATATTTAATTTGAATTGCACTTGTACTTTTAGTTTTACTATTTCAAAACGAAACCAAAGCACAATATCTAACTAATTATTAAAACAACTCTATCAGCCATATATACAAGAGGCAAAATGCTAAGCTTGCTGTAACCGATGTTCATTATATATTTACACGTTGCATATTTACAATTGATTTTTCTCCCTTTATATCTATCTCCATTATTTCACTGTTAGATTTTTATTTGAAACTTTGGTTAAATCAAATCTCGTCAAAAGGACTACCATAGCATCCGCACAAACAAAGCATGCAGGCAACTCTTTAGGTTTGGTATGGTGCCTTACGTTGGTGTTGGCACGAGCTTCACGGGTGGCGGCAAGGGCGCGGGGGAGGGCGGCGCGCGCGGCTTCGTGCTGCAATAAGGGAGCGGGAAGCGCCAACCGTACAGACTAGCGGGCAGAAACATCTCTCATCGACACTAACACTTAAATATGGGACCAAAGGATAGGACAAACTAAAAGGAATAAACTAGATTGACGACAGGATCATAACATAAAAAGTTAATTTCACAAACATGGTGTAGAGGATCTGTTAAGATGTCGATGAAGTGCTGTCACAATGATTTTTTATTGACAGTGATTAATTTGACATTGAACAGTTACGGTAAATTGATATTAATAAAAATTGATTTTACCTTCCCAGTTTAGCTTCGTCCTCTTTGTGCTTCTTCGCACGTTTTCCGCAGATTGTGGCAATAAAACCTTGTCGCCTGAAGCATAGTAGAAGAAGATCTACTATTAGCAAGCAGATGAATACACCAGCTAATGCCACTCCAATAATCGCTCCACTTGACAATAGTTGAGGTGGTGCAAATCCGGAACCCACACCTGTTGAAATACTTTTGTTGTAGACATAACTAACGTTAGGTAAATCTATTTCTAAAGAGCAGCAGAAACGATAAACATAATCTAGTGAATCTCTTGAATTTTGATAAAAATTTAAGCACATTGAATGATAAAAGGAACTGTTCTGATTTCTACTGCTCTTGTTTTGGTTAGTTTATATATCATGTCACAAAAGCTGAAGATGTTAGACATGATTTAGATGACACATGACAGTGATTGTAACAAATTCATACGCAGCGCTTGTGCATAGTAATAGTGATAATAAAATTAGTTTATTTATCCTTTATAAGCGATTTAGATATTTATTACAATCAAGTTGTGGTGACGAAGTAAGGAGTGCTTTCAGATCGGCCATACGTGCACCCAATCACCGATAGTAATTCGTATAATAAGTACTTAAGAAATACACAAATTGAGTTTCGCAAGTAGAAAGCTCTCCGCTAAAATGAAATGGGGTTTGAATGGAAATGAAATAATGGTTTATGATGATAATGATAGATGATGCGATGTCGTAATCTTAGAAGTAACGAAAAAAAATATTAAAAAGAAAAGTTGTCAAGATGCAAACATTCCAAATTGATTTAACGCAAAATAAAAGTTCAAACCCCATGACAAAAGTTTGGAATCTATCGAAAGCGATACGATAAATCTATAGATAAATATAAATTTACAACAAGTATGTTTACAACAAACTACGGGTCTGATGGAATTCTAATAACCATCACCTGAGTTGTTAACCCTATTCTAATTTATTTTAAAATTATTTAAATATATTTGTGATTTGAAATGATGCTTTACTATTTAGTAAATCCAGATGTTGTATCAAATATATAATTATCAGATAGAGATAGAGTCATTTCAAATAACAATGTTACATAAATTTCTAAATAATGATAATAAACTAAATGTATGCTAAATTTAACTTTCAGAATTTAATTCAAATATAAAATTAGCTATGCGCCGTAGATTAAATCAAAATATAATATTAGCAGATCCATCGCTATTCCATCCATGCTTGGATAAAATAAATTAACAACTAGGAAAAAAAAATTTCCCAAAATAAAATAAATAAATATTTTCATCTAATGACAAATATAAAATCATTTTATAAATAATGATTAAGGTATTATCTAGTCCTATAATAACATATTATGTTAATGCTGATCATGCTAAGTGGGAAATGTGAACTTTCCGTATTTTAAAGGGTGTACACAAAGTAACGGTAAGGTCATGCAATAGTGGGTAATTAACTCATTCCAGGGAAACTATGCAGCAAGTTCATTAATGGATATAGGTAGATTATTAAGATAAAATATATTTACCCAACTTCATTGAGGGCGACACAAACACACTTCAAACGATCAACATTAAAGGATTAATGGACTGGTCTCTTGATAAGCATCTTGACAGCTTTCTTTTTTAGGTTATCTTAGGTATAAATTAATTTGGTCATTCAGATATTACAACTAAGGTAAGGAGTTGTAGGCTACTCTCAGATAGTTTTGGAAATGGTAAAGGTAAAAATAAAGGAATCAAACAACTTCAAAAATGAATGAATTTGTATTAAATTAATATATACAAGTGTTTCATTCATTTTTATACACGAGAAATACATGTATGCATGTTTTTAAAACATTTATTTTTCACATTGGTCAATTTTCTCTTCTGAAATAGATCACAATTGTAATCATTATTCTTCATTAATATTACCTATTAAAGTCCCGCATTTAATAATATATGTACAAATTCATATCTTTCGCTTACAAATACAAACATATCTTTATCTGGACGACATTCTCCTCGATACAGTATCCTAATATTTTATTCTATCAAAAAGTTAAAATACTCATCGAAAAATTTGACACATTTTATTTAGAACTCTTACACAAATCACTATGTATGTTTAATCATTATTTTGGTATATTTATTAAATTAACACTAATTTATCATTTTATATTTTGGCAGTGTTAATTTATTAGCCATTAACTAACTACCTACAGAGATTCTATTTTTAATCCTATCAAGTAACGATAACCTATCATAGTCGTTTTTTTATAATCAAATCGCTAAATAAAATCATCTAATATTGAATTGAATTCATTTCAACAAATCAACATCTCAATTTTAATGTTTAATCATTTAATGACACTATTTGTAATTATTATTTTCATGTAATTAATTTTAATCAATTAACTATTATATATTATCTAATTTCAAACACAATTTTTTTAAAAAGTTTAATTTACATACAGTCAACAAATAGTTTTATCACAACAAGTAGGCTTAAATAACAATAACCGTCTTGGACTTGTTTAGTTCAAACGATTTTACCTATAGATGGATTTATAGTTTACACTATATGAAATAGTATTATAACTACAGTTATGATATCCACTTTAGTGTGAGCCCATCCGAAATGGCTTGAACATCCATTTGGATTACCTAGAAAATATTTCATAAATATAAATACGTACAAGATTTGAAAGAAAAAGAATGCACTAGCGTGAGATAAATAATATAAAAAAAATAACACTGGTAATAAATTAACACCAACAAAATATAGCATTAAATATAAATCATAATATTATTTTAAAATGCACATTAACATAAAATTGTGATATAACTAATCTAAATGAACAATTTGTACCAAATATAAAAGCACTGTTTTCATACAAGACCGATAATAATAATTCATTATTTGTACCATTAAATAGTAACAATTAATCAGTATAATTACTCTCATTAGAAAAATACAAAACATGGGCAAGATTTATTAACACAAAGTAAAATAAGATACGAAGCGAAACAAATATTCAAAAAAATACAAATCGATAGACAGCAAATGTCTTAATACTAAAAAATAAAATTGTACTTACACAAAGAAGCAAAGATGATAAAAAAAATAATTACCAGTAAAACATTGGAAGAGAAACTCCTTTACTCTGATGAGCATATGTTTAAGGCACTACTAGCAGTACTATAGAATGAAATAAAACACAGTCATAGTTCACACAATGAAACACAAAACGCACGGAATGACGAAACTGAGAGCATAGGATATGGCGGACGCCGCAGAAGGAATTAGTGGGTTTGGGGCAGTGTAAACGTCGTAGAAGCCAGCCCGTATTGGCAGCTGATTACTCTCTTGGTTATACTCACCGAGTGCAGTCTGCAGATACAGTTCTACTGGCAACGAGTATCCGAGAACGTTGTGCGCTCTCACGTGCATTCGGTAACGCGTGTCAGGATATAGTCCTCTGACTTCATAGCTAATAGCGTCGTAGGATTTTAATTCTTCTATTGTGCACTGTGATTCAGATACTACTTTCCATTCTCCACTAACTTTTACGACCTGGTTGAAATATGCAAAAATAAATACAATCCTTAACTACTACTTACTTCATAATATTATAATAAATGCGAAAGTGAATTGTTCTTTTCGCTTTCACGTCTATATCGCTGAATCGATTATGATAAATTTTGGTATAGAAATAGATAGGACCCTGAAGATGGTTATAGGCTACTTTTTCTCTCGATCAGTGTTCATAGATAAATAGATAATATGTATTGTTTTATTCAAAAATTACTGTAGCAAACTTATTATAAATAGATACAAACAATTTCAAAAAATATTCATACAACAATGGGCCATATGACAATTGCGCGGACAAAGTCGCTGATAAAAATCTTATTAATATTATAAATATGAAGGTGAGTTCGTTGGTTTGTTACCTTATAGCGCCCTAACCGCCTTAACCAATCACTATGAAATTTTGTATAAGATGGAAAAGGATATAAGCTGTTTTTTATCCCGGTCGGTGAACATGTCCAGATCACGCAGACGAAGTCGCGGGTAATAGCTAGCTAGCAATAAATATATCGATGATGGAATGTTAAAAAATCTCTATAGATATATCCATAAAATACTTACAGGACAATAGCTGATTTCATACATATCGATGGGTTCACCATTATCAGCTGGAACTTTCCATTTTAACTCATATTTATCTGCGTATTTTCCATAAATAAGCGAATCTGAACTGATATTTTCTCTCCATTTTGGTTGTTGCGGAGGTGATCTGGGGGAATGCATATTTATTTAACTTATTGATAAAAGTTCAATAATTATAGATACTATGTGATAGATTACAAAAAATAATAATAAATATAAACAAAAATGGTGATTAAGAAAATGATAGCTCAAAAACTAAGATAACAATGTGGTAACAGATTTTAATTTACTATAAAATTGTGAAGAAATCTGATATACGAATTAATTAATATAATTTATAATTATTAAACGTCTAAATACTAATAATTATACAAATTAAAACAAAGTCCAAGAATTTACTAAAGTTAAATTAATTATAGTATCTCAATTTATAGCATAAGTCAAAATATAAATTATATTTGAGAAACATGCAATATAATTATCACCTACATATAATTAGATAATATAATAGAAAAGAAAATTACGTTTTGGGCGTTATAACCGTCAAAGGCGCCGACCAAACTCCTGCGCCGACCTGATTCACTGCAGCAAATCTAAAGTCATACGTGAACATGGGCCTTAAATTCTCAACGATATATGGCGAGTTGATCGACCAAGTTCGGTTCCTTGCGAGATTCCAATCGAAATTGCTGTTTTCCTTGTATTGAGTTGTGAATGCTAATATAGGAGGGCCCATGTCCTCAGCTGGACCGACAATGTTAAAGGACACCGATGTTGCCGTAATAGTTTCTTGTATTGCCTAAAAAAATAATGAAAACATATTAATTATCGAAAAATATATAATGATACTTTTCTAGCAGTCTATAAAGTCTAGTTTTCAACTATCATTCGAATAAATAAAGAGTAGAAAGGTGTAGATTGTTTATTTTCCTGTATTTTATAACTTTGATTTTTTTAGAAAAACAAATAGTTTGTGTATAATGCACTTGTAAAATTATAAAAACACTGTTTTGTATTTTAAATATAACATATATTCGTATCGTATTGTTGAAATACAATACGTATTTCAATAATCTTTTTTTCTCGTTTATACCAACATTAATTTCATTCAAGGAAATAATAAAAGCACCTTACTTTGAAATAAAATCATATTTAAACTGTGTATTTTAAGTCGATGGCTTTTCATTATAAAAATTACTAGTTGTATATTATAAAGTGGACATTATTAACGAGTTTATATTACCGAATATAAATATTATATGAATATATCAAGTATTTCTTTACTTTTCCTCTAATCAATAATGCACCGCCTACGTATTTCTCAGTTTGCCCAATGGTTGACTGGTAGAGAACACCGTCTGGTGTTAAGTCCGCCAAATGTACATAAATGTGCATTAAAGTTTCAATAATTAAATAAATTATAAATGATAACGTTTATATTCGGTAATATCACTGAAAATAGAGATAGATAGAGATATACATATGTATAAATCTATATAGATAGAATTTATTGACGATAACTTACTTGGATAACTCGGCCTGGTGGGAAACCTTCCCTCAACTCAATTATGTGTTCTGCTTCGCCGAGTATATTCGTAGCTATGCATTTATACACGCCAAACATAGCTCTATCGACTGGGCTAATTGTAACGTAGCTAATAGGTCCAGAACCGAAGATCTTTATGTGAGGAGTTTCTACTAAATCTACATCCCTGTGCCTGTAAATACCGAAAAACTATATATACAGAAATCTAAAAAAACATAATTTTTTTTAAGTATTTTTTTTTTTACTTTTTACAATAATTATAAAATTGAATAAATAAACAATCTATATTCCAGGATATGGTTTTTCATATGGGCGTATTAAGGTTTCTTAAGATTCGGCAACGCGTACGTGACATCCCTGGTGTTACAGGCGTTCATAGGCTACGGTAACCCCGTTTACCATCAGACGGCGCATATACTTGTTTGACACCAAAGTAGTATGAAAAAAATATAATTTCTACCAAGATAAGTTTTGGCTAAGAATTCAGAACATAAAACAAACATTGCACCTCTAGAGTGATGGATGTTGTAAATTTACAACTCAATATCGTAATATATAATTTTTGAAATGTTAAATCAATAATAGTAGTAATTCATCAATAATTACCTCCATTTAATAGTTGCATTCGGAATACTTTCAGCAATACAGCTTATGTTCACTGGTTGGCCATTCCAGCTCCAGATTGGAATATCGGGCATGTTTTGGAATGTCGGTTTAAATTGAACTGTTAAATGACCATTCTTTCTTGCTTCTCCACCTGTGTAAAAATATTTAATGAGGCGATTCCCAAGTAGCTGGATAATTTATTATTAAAAAAAACAGACTTGATTTTTCATCAATTAATTCCAATATTTTTCAAAGTATGTGATTGATAAATGAATATTAATTATTTTGTTTAAAGATAGAATAATTAAAATTGGACAAATATCGTGTAAAATATAATATTAAAAACAAAAACGTTAATTTTTTTCGTGATTGGCCTTTAAATATTATCATACCATCATTTTCGGCTAAACATTCGTACAAGCCATCGTCCGTTCTATTTAGATTTGAAATTGTGATAACGCCACTAGATTCCATCTGATCCCCGGTTTGTCGAGAACTCGTCTCGACTGTGATTCTGTAGAAAAAAAATAAGACATAACGTAACTAGAAGATAATAAAAAAGTGGACAATGAACTCACCATAAAGTTACTTAACTAATAGATGCGGTGGAACAATAATAAAAATTTGATCCAATGTCAAAAAATTAAAATAAAACTTATTTATTGATATCACTTCCTTAACGTAAAAACCAACTAACCTACGTATTCCAATTTTAAGATAATTTTTTCTACCCATCAACTTAGGTTAATATTCCATTCCATATATAACTATGTATACATTCCATATAACTATTTTATCTAGTTTCTACGTAATCTTATTAATAGAATATTAATTATTTCAATTGTATGGGAAATGCACGCTATCTTTATAATAAATTTATTAATAACAATTTCATTATTTTTAAGTAAGCCTTTGAAGATACATAAATATTCAATTTCCACGAAATAATTTTATTAGTATTAACAAACATTAAAGAGAAATTAATTTACTAAAATAACATACTCAATTTAAGTGTATAGCAAAATAAATATAATTACTGAAAATGTTATGCCCACAATTTTAATAGTAATTAAATTTTCAAACCAAAATAACACATATAAATGGTTATGTTTAGATTTGTATATAATTAATTAGACAGACAGCTCTCATAACAACTTGCTCAGATAAAAATTCTTAAGTTTTGTTTTGAAACTCGGCGGACATTGTATATATCCAATAGAAATTCGTAAACTATTCCATAGCCATGCGGCCACATACGGCTGCTCACGTAATCCTGGAATGTGAGGCTGTGGCCCATCAACGTTTAGAAATCCTCGAAACGGTGAGGTCGCTCCGTGAGGCCTGTGAAGAACCCAGGAAGCTTCTGTGCTTCTGGGCGGAGCTAGGTTGGCTGTACTAGCCACGACTCATACACACAATGGCCCAAATGAGAGGCTAAGCGCGGAAAATAGAGTCTTTTTCACATTCACATTCCATAGCCATATAGCCTGCACAGTGAACGATTTGTCGTAAAAACTAGTAAAATGTACTGGCGTCTTCAGCCTCGAAAGACCTTAGATTTGTTTAATTCTACTATGCATGCAATTATCAATGGTTTACTATCAGTAGAAGCTTTGACCTTTCTTATTAGTTATAAATCTATGGCTATAGGATAGGAAGGGGTGGCTTATTCTATGCCGGTACCACACAAAGTACAAAATATACAAGTAATTAATAATTACCTTCCATTATCGTAAGCACCATTTGTGAATCGGTCAGGGTTGCTCAGTTTCCTGAAACTTATGCGCGGAGCCGGCCGTCCTGTCGCTTTGCATTCCAATCTGCCGTCCATTTTTTCTGATACAGTCGCATTGAATAATTCGAAAATTTTGGGTCGTACAAGAACTTCCACTTCGATCTCTGTCTCGTTCTGTCCAGCTGGGTTGCTTGCACTGCAGATGTATTTGCCGTAATCACTGGCCTCCACACGACTGAATGTTAACAATCCAGTATTTTCGTTCACACTAAATCTGCTTGTTGTTGCTAAGTTCTAAATATAAGAAAAACAATTTAATGTATTGTTGTTATTGAAAATGCATTTATATTGTACACTGAAATTATAGAAAAAAATATTTTAAAAACCATAAATAAGTAGAAATATAAATTATTTAGATTTTAATAATATTAGAAAAAAGACTTTTACTCTTCCACAACTGTTATAACAAATTGACAATTACGGTTGTTAATATTTGAAGGTTTTAAATTTTTATTCATTATTTTAAGTTCATCAATATTTTAAAATTAAACTGAGTAAAAACGAAACTTTAAACTCTGATTAATTCGACGTCAACAGTCAATGAAATGGAATTTAAAATGGATATTAGATTCATCCGTTGATGAATGTCCCACTTTCCAAGATGCATTCCGACATGTTTAGTAAAGCGTTGCGTTATTTCAATGCACCGATGATGTACTATGTATGCAAGGTAATGTACCATGTAAACATTTGTTCGACTTAACTATATTTAGTTTATCATAATATATTCATCTATGAATGTTGTTTATATGATGAAAATCGTCCCTTAATTTGGATTGACATAATTATCTTAAATAACTAATTTGAGAAAAAAACAAAGATTTAAAATTTTTTAACGTACACCTTATTGTTTTGTCTTTATAATTTTTTTTTTGTACATAAAAAGTTAAAAAAAAATATTTTATTAAAAAAAAAACTTACTTCTCGTGTTGAAGCTTTAATCCAACTATAAGTTGGTGGTGGCTTCCCTCGGGCCTTGCAAGTAATCTGAGCCGTTTCACCTTCTTTAATAACTACTACCTGATCTCTTTCTTCCATTTCTGGCGCAGTATATACCTTTAATGTTATTTATCAATTATATTACAATTTTTAGAAATATTTTTATATTTTTGCAAAATTATAAAATAAAACATTTTCATTATTTCATTAATTCCACACTATATTCTACTATTCACCGGTTTCCAACAGTTTTTATTCTTCATTCATAATATAGACAATTAGATAGCACATTAAGTTTAGATTGTCTACAATAACATGATTCGCCACTCCAAAACCAAAAAAATTATGTGATTAAAACTATTTACAAACTTTTAAATCAAGGATAATATTCACTGGCCGGACCGCTACTGAAGATGTTTCTTCACAAACACAAACAGCGCATCAATGTCTGTATATGGTGAAACGTAATAAAGTAAAAAGTTGTTAGGGCGTGCCATGTTAACGTAGACAATCTATTCATTAATTAGGTAGCCTGTCATTCATCCTGTCAACATTCCTGAATTACAATTATAAACATATAACAAATAACAATGATCAACATTTACCTCTACATTGATTTCCCGTTCAGATAATTCACCAGTGTGAATGACAACTGCTCGGCACATATAAGATCCGTCATCACTTTCTTGTACATTTTTAATTAGTAATCCATTGGCATGAATAACATATCTATCGCCGGTTTCAATCTATAAAAGAAAATATATCGAATAAGCAAAATAAGAAATTAAAATATTTGTACATTTCTCATTCCCATAAAAAGTTGGAACTAAAATAGTCTATAGAAATAAATAGTTATTAAGACAAGACAGAACATGGTAGAGTTGGTAGAGTTGATAATATGAAATAAACATAAAACTCCATCTCTAGACAATATATTTTTACAAAATTTAAAAAACATCTTACTACGTTTGTATACTAATGTCACTAGAGGGTTCAAAATTTACGTATTTTTTATATGAATGAATTTTATAATCAGTTAACGATTGTTTTTTTATGCAAGCTAGAATGGCCAACAAGCTGACGGCTCACTTAATGAAAAGTGGTAATCGTCGTCTATAGACATGAACATTAAGTATCATGAACATAACAGGGTACATTGTGTCGAGTTAGATACTCTTCATGCATTACAGTTCTTAAGGACTAAAGTGTTACGACTCTGTACCCTGTAATTTCACTGCCATATCTTAATCCTTCAAACCGAAACATGCCCATGTAAACATAACAGCTTTATAGTAGTAACTTGAATAGGACAGACAATTTGTGAATCTTCGGTTTTATTTGTATCAATGATATATCACATTATTGCACTTTTAAGTCAAATTTACTTACAGGCACTCCTTCTTTGAACCAGTCTATTGTGGGAGCGGGTTCAGCAGTCACTTCACACATAACTTTAAACTCTTGTCCCTTTGTTGCATATTGATTTTCGTTGGCATTTGTGAATGTGATAGCAACTAGAAAAAAAATATTTATAAATATTGAAATAGGAAATTAGCAGAAGAAAAAGACTGTTACTAATAGAGACTAGTAGCACCATTAATAGCAATAATCTAAATTAGGTCGATCTTCAACCGTTGTGGTCAATTCTTAATAAATTTGTCATGATGAGCCAACTGACCTGCTTTCATCCTCACCTATCATCTCTTATTAATATCTTGCCAGCGTATACCCATAGCGCAGGCAGAATTGTCATTATATTATCACCCATAAAAAATAAAAAATCAGGAAGTAAACAAGACGTCACATCATCTCTTATTAAGCCAAGCATTAAATATGGTATTTTTATAGAAAAGAAAGATTATGTATATTACCATAAGTATCCAAAATAACGCTTGCACTTAAAGGTATGTTTGTATATGTCGCTACACATGTGTAATTGCCTGCCATCGCCGGAGTTATTGACGATATATAAAGCAACTGCAATTGTTTTGTTGGCATCGCCTCCGTGTAGATTTCCGGTCGAGTACCAGGTCTGTAGGGCAAATAAAACAGCATTAGGTATTAGAAGAAATAAGAACAACGAAATAAATTAACTTTAAAATTAAATTACTTGGTGCAATAAAGTGTAAATAAATAAATAACTTGATATTTGAATATTTATTTATTTAAACTTAAATGCACAGTATGAATATATAAAACAATTGGCGGACTTAACACCGGATGGTGTTCTTTACCAGTCAATATTACGAGTATACAGAGAAATAAGTAGATGGTGCATTTAAAAAATGAGAAAACATAAGCTAATACTTAATATATTTATACATTATAAACATATAATTAATATAATTTCATAACATATGTTAGTATGGGAGGCTTAAAATTTTTAGTCGCTTTTAAATCAAACTTCTTTAGCAAAAATTATTAATTGCATTGGTAGAACATTCCCTAAAAAGGCTGGTATCGATTTTAATCTTATGCAGTATAAGTGTCCTTAAATATTACAGTTAATTCTAATTATTAAATCAGAATTTAATTATCAAATAAAATCTTTCCTGTAAGTATAAAAAAGACAAACGAAAAATATTTGTCGAATAATACATTTGTTTTAGTTTAACAACGGAGATATTGTCGTATAAAAGAAGATTCAATATAAGCAATATTGGATCCACTTTCAATTCGGTCATAAGATTTGATATTGCATTATTGAATCTCATAGTATTGGATCAAAGGTCGTTCTATTAGGATAGAGAGTACAAATTTTAAATATATTTTTAATATCAAAAACTCAAACTTACGCGGCTTCATTTATAACTAATCCTTTGGGATCCTTCCACTGGGGTTGTGTGATCAATGAAGGATCCTGAGCATCTGCTTGGCATGTGAGGACAACTGACTTTCCAATAGCTACAGTCTGCTCCTTTTGCATTGGGAATATCTTCAAACTCTGACCCACGCATCCTGTGAAAAAAAAAATATTGTAATTTTTTTTATACAACTTTAAATAATGAAGGTCCAACTGATGTAATGTAGCAATTGTCACTTAGAGAAAAGTTGTGGTTTCACAGAATGCACCATAATATTCACAGTACCTATCTTATAGTGTATATGTTATCTTATAGACAGGTTGGTTGCTGCAGGTCAGAACTGATGGCCAGCAGGCCGAAATGATGTGTTATTTCTGTCTCATCACCTGTCCTGCCCTTTGTATCTTGCACAATGCATGAAGGAGGACTTGAACTGACTAAGCTTTGGTCCAAACCTAAGGTTCGTTTTGGTTAGCAGTGAATGTTTTTTTTTCATTCGTTGCTATATAGTAGAAACCACATGTACTATCTGTCTTATCACGTAGTGAAAACGATTCAATAGTACAGAATCGTGTTTGGGAAAATTTAGATTATTTAATTGTGCCAAAAACTACTCGTAGTTTTACATTCAATATTATATATATATATATATATATATATATATATATATATATATATATAAGCAAGAATGAATGGAGATGTCGGTAGGGGCCGCCCTAGACGGACGTATGTCGACCAAATAGGCGACGTGCTGAAGAAGGGCCAAATTAAAAGTACCCGTAACCGACGAGCGTGTATGACAAGATTGATGAATGTGGAAGAAGCGAAAGAGGTTTGTTTGAATCGAAGCATTTGGCGTTCCATTGTTTCTGCCTACCCTAATGGGAGACAGGCGTGACAGATATGTATGTATGTATGTATGTATATATATATATACTTCTTGCATGGTTTTAATACAATCTAAATAATTTTAATGTATTTAGTATTAATATAAACCTACGTGGTTTCTAAATGCTAATGGAACATATAACATATATTTCTTGTTTTCTGTAACATTAGTCATAATATATCATTGTTCTTTTTGTAATTATGTATGTTGAATAATGACATATATTTTATTTGGGGTCCTGAAATAGTTAATTGGTTAACTGCATATGTTTACATATACTATTACTTTTTCAATATACATTTTTTAGTGTTTATAGAATGTGTATACCTACTGTTAAGTCAAACAATCTTCTTGCGGAGACCTACCACTTGTACCATATAAAAATGTTTTTGGAAATAAATGATTGATTGATTGAAGAGTTCGTATTGTTGTGGAGTTTTTGGAAAATAAAAAATACCTATTGGGAAAAAATAAAAAAATCGCATTAAACTAGACAACTCTGCATAAAACATCTACGTTCAACAGTTGCAAAGTATTCCGAAAGAGAAACGGCCGCTTGGTGGACGGACCTGGTAACTCTTTAATTAACTTTACCGCAATTTATTCATCGGCACGTGACGATGCTACTTATTAACGCAGTTATTCTTCCGTGCTGCTGCAACTGCCATCTTAGTAGTCAAGATCCCTAATTGCATTTTCAGAACTAATCGTTTTATATATCATTCAACACGGTAACGATTAAGCTAATAATTTAAAATTGTTCCATAAAATAAGTCTTAATAAATTTGGTATAAGACAAACAGAATCGATAAAAAGGATTTTTGGAGTCGATTTAATATTGGCAAAGACAAATAAACAAGCAGGTTTTTGCTACTCAAACAATAAAACAGAGGGCCTACCGTGAAATATTCTCCGAAATTTCGGGACCGAACGAAACACAAATTTGATGTTAAAACCGTTTAAAAATATTAAAATATCGTTTCCTTCGACTATTATGGTAGGATTCATGACGAATAAAATGTTTAACTCCATTTACTGGGCTGATTTCGCTATAAACAAAAAAAAAACAAAATTGAGTCCATAAATTCGGAATTTCATTTCATGGTAGACCCCCAGTTCTTTCAAACACGATAAAATAAATATATGCATTTATAGATTGCAAAAGGAATAATCATAATAAACGAAGATGAAATGAATAAAATATCGTTGAATTGAGAACATATTCCATTTTGAAGTCACTCGAAAAGAATAAACCATGATATAAATGACAGCTATAAGCGGTCATATACAATGTAGGTATTTTCGTCGCAGCTTCAACTGAAATGTTGTCGTCATTCACGCGAGTACGTTTCGTTATTGCCGGATTTTTATCCTTTTTTCCCCATATGTTTTTGTCTCTTTCATTTACGTCACAAGCTTTCTAAGTTGTCAATATATAGTTATAACAAATGTAGACATGTATGTACCCTTTAAAGTAAAAAATTATGAAAATATATGATGGGTGGGATAATAGGTGAGAATGAAGCAGACCCATTGATCCATCGTGATGAATTTATCAAAATATTATCACGATGATTTCCAGGGGGTACCACGTGGAGGTCGACCTGTTAGGGTATATTGCTAGCAATAGGGCCATTAGATCTTATTACTATCTATCACAATCGCCTTCCCCCGCCATCACCTTGTTACGTCTACATAATCGCTAATATTCTGAAAAACTTAAAATTGTCTCTTAAAAATACATATTTTTAATATTTTAATGACAGTAAAGTAATACCATATAACGTCCGCTAAATGTTACGTATACAATGTCATTAATATCAGTAGCTTATCGCCAGCCCTGAAGAAACTACATAAAACTAAAAACATACCTTTTTGACGAACCCTTCAACCTCTTGGGAAAACTTCGAGGTAACTTATTCGGGAATGCTCTCGAGAGAAATCTCTTTTGAGACCATACAGTAATTTTTATTCTATCTTTAAAGCATAGAATAACATCATTGAAGAGCTTTAAAAATTGTTGAATTTCCAAAAGAAAGTTCCATTTTTAAATCAGTTAAAAATGTATAAGCATTGCATTGTTCAGACGCAAACCCATACTTATCCTTTAGAAAAACGGACTCTTTTTACCATATTTTAAGTATGCAGTTCACGTCGACGCCTCCCTTCAGTTTCGTCGTGTCTTGAAGCTTTTACCATTCTTTTACCTACTATATTCTTGCACTCTGTTTCGTTGTTTCAACAAAAGAAAATACAAGTAGACTTTTTTGCCTATTTGCAATATTATAAAGATATCATAGCAGTTACTCTTATGTTAATAAGATTAATTTTTATTTAAGCCTACATTAATACAAATGTGTATTTCTAAAAATATTTAGATATTTTTTTTATGCAACTTAGAATGGCAAACAAGTTGACGGCTTACCTGATGGAAAGTGGTAACCGTCGCCTATAGACATAAACAGTAACATGGACATAACAGAGTGTACTGTTATGCCCATGATATCTTCCATGCGTTGCCATTACTGAGGACTCAGGTGTTATTCCTCTATACCCTGTAAATTCACTGCCATATAACACCCTTCAAACCGAAACACAGCCATACAAACACAACGGCTTCACGGTAGAAACTCGAATGAGACAGAGGTGCCCAAGCAAACGACTTTTGTACATAGTCTACCTCTGGTTAATTATATATTTAGGTATTATATTACATAGGTATCTTTGTTATTCAATAATATCGGTTTATTTATTTGATTAGGTAAGTTGGTTTTTTTTAATGGATGATAATGAAATAGTTACCCCACCTGCGCTATCGGTATACACTGGCAGGGTACCAGTAAGTGGTGATAGCTAAAAATGAAACAGGTCAGTTAACTCATCGTGACGAATTCAACAATACGATAATTCAATGTTACGTAAATAAATCATAATGGTTTCCATGGGGAACCGCGTGGAGGTCAACCTAATAGGGTATATTGCTAGCAATGGGATTACTAATCTTCATTATTAACAATCCCTTCTCCCCCCAGGATGGTTGATTAGGTAGATATAATGCATTATTTAATTTAGATTAATATAATATGTCTATAGAATACTGTTCAAGCAGGTAAATCAGGGTATAAATTATAAGTCAAAATATAATATTAAATTATTTTAACAGAGAGTTCGTTGAAATCTATGAATGGACAATACAAATTCATCATTCATTAATGTACAAAAATACCTCACGAGTTACTCTAGGCATTTCATGAAATCCAAATAAGAATGATAAGCATGATAGCAATTACATTTCTAACATAATAAACATATCACCTTAGTCTACAGGAGGGCAGCTAGTTACTTAATCTGCTTTGTGTCTGATTCAGCTTCTTCTTTTATATATATATATACGTACATATCAAATATTTCGGTCGTTCAAAATTTTTGTTATAGATTTTTCAAGCAACGACAAGATAGATAGATAGATACTCTTTATTGTTTTCTCCAAAAGATTACAATAGTAAACTTATTATAAATATAAATAATTACAAGAAATAATCACAATGAGAAAACAATGGGCGGCCTTATCGCTAAGAGCGATCTCTTCCAGGCAACCTTTGGATGGAGAGGAGTAATTATAAACAATTTGGTGGGAGGCACAATGAAAATTTTTGTTAGTTCTAAATATGGGAGATGTGATACATATAATAATATAAATATTATCCCTACTCATTATATATATATATATATATATATATATATATATATATATATATATATATATATATATATATATATATATACATATATACATACACAACACATATACATACATGCATATAAACGCCTACACAAATACATAAAAATATATAAATACTGTTCACGAAAAGTATGCAAGAAATAAGTATGCTAACCAGACATATAAACATATTAAGAAGATGACAACTTGCTCAAATAAAAGTCCTTAAGTTTTGTTTTAAAACTAATATATGATGTTTATATACGAGTACATAGAATCCAAACAATATAGTAAGTATTATAGTAACTAAGTATTATAAAATTTACCCTCTAGGGCAGTATGTGGAAGAGGATTTATTTTGATTTACAACATAATGTTATGAATGATAAAAGTGAATTCCCTGGGGGTTATTCGTACCGCAGAATTTTATATAGTAAAAAAAATAAGTTTTATAACTTCTTTCGACGATGCAAATTGGCTAGGGGAATTTGTATTGAATTCCCATTCGGAAATATCCACGGAACGTGACAAAAACTTACTCAGT